ATCGCGACTTTATCGGCGATAAAATCGCGATTTTTCCGTTGAAAAATGCTACTTGGGTTATGCGAAAATATCGTCATTACATTGCCTTTTTTAAATTACATTCTAATGTTTTCGTTGCAAAATGGGGCGAGGGTAAACATGGTTCCGATCTTTTCCCTGACAGCAGTTCGGCTAACTTTATTTACTTTATAAAAAACCCTTCTCACTAGAAAATTACATCAAATAACTAGAAAATTGATTGTCTTCGTCTCCATCATCATCACTGTAATCAGATCCAGTATCATTACTGTCACTTGTGCCATCTTCATTATCATCATCATCATCATCATTATCTTCATGGGAGTCATCGTCATCATAATCATCAGTATAATCGTCATCACTGTCATCATCATCATCAACATCATCACCATCATCACCATCATCATCATCGTTGTTTTCGTCATCGTCGTCCTCTTGAATTTGATTGCACTTTTCTTGAAGGAGAGGAAAAAATTCTTTTGCGGTCGAATAATTTGGCTCATATTTGAGAATTAACTGAAATTCAAGTTAATTTAAAGTTTACTGGATAAAACTTCAGAAATCATGGAAGAAGGAAAGTGAGCAAGTGAGATAGAAATTTTGAGCAAAAGGTCTGTTTTGCGGGTTAAGTAGGATCATATTCATGCGTATCGATGCGGCCAACGAGCGCGAAATTGCGAGTTGCGACGTTGCAGAATGCAGACTTCCTGTCATGCTTATTTTTTTTTTTAGAACTATCCTGGTAAAAATTGGCAGTAGAATCTGTGTTCCAAAATACCATAGACCTACAGCCGGCTGTAAGATTTCCAATAGCTTCTATAGCCGGCAACACAATTTCTTATAGCCTTTTATAGCCGATGGCGATTAAACAACAGCCTGGCGATAAAGTGTATGCTAAACGCTACTAATTAGGTACAAATGCGAGGACTTAGTGAGTTTTTGGACTACCGCTCTCTTTTTGGACCGTAGTATCTTGATTTATTTTGAGAGGAAAGTTCCGTACTTTTGAGGGATGCCTGCCATTCCTAATATGCTGGAGGGCCTTCAATTTCGTATGATACTGTGCAATACCTCTGGTGTGATATAATTGCTTCAAGCGCCGCGGTGCGACGCGGCGCGGCGCGGCGGGCGGGCAGCCAGCGCTGAACCCGCTTTGGCGCCTACAAACCTAACAGGGATATTTCACGCATTGCGCAATGCGTGAAGTATCCCTGTTAGGTTTGTAGGCGCCAGTGCGCCGCCGCTCCGCTTTGTGTTAGGCTCTAACATTTAATCTCGCGGAGTCAGAGTTTTTCAACTCATGATTTTGAAATGTTTGCACACTCTGTATGGATTATTCTCATTTTAATTGATGAAAAAAAATATGTAGTAAAGGAAAATATGATGTGCGTTAGTAAATATTAAGGTGATTCCGTAAAAACTTAAGGATTTACAAAGCACAAGAATTTCTACTCAATTTCTTATAGCCTTTTATAGCCGATGGCGAAAAAGCAACAGCCAGGCGTTAAAGTGTAAAGCCCGGCAATAGGAACCATAGCCTGTCTGTATAATTTTTTATCGCTTCGTGTAGCCCGGCCCTATGATTTTTCCCACTTTCTACAACCAGCTATATGATTTTCTATCGCCCTCCTCAGTCAGCTATAAGAACTCCTATGGTATTTTGAAACGCAGCTCCTATCGCCAATTTTTACCAGGGTAATAATGTATTTACCTCGAAATATTCTTGCTTTTTATTCTCTATTAGCAGAGGATTCTCTAGTAATGGCAAGGTATGAAGTGGGCTTGCCTCTCTTCGAAAAAATAAAATAGGAACGGAAATTTTGGAACACTGCAATGGAGATACATGGTGTCACACTTCAGCCATCGATATAATTTTAGAAGTTAATATTGGCGGAGGTAATAAAAGTTTTTATAACTTTTAAGACGGTACGCGCATGATCTGCAATGATTCGGAATGTTTTGTAAAACCTAATACTTTGATTAAGATTATTGCACCTCTATTATTTTTGATTTTAAAAGCTCGAGGTTATAAAATTTCAACATTTTCCAGTTTTTTTTTGGATGTTACGCCTCAGTGCACCAGTACATCTAAATTTTCATCTCGTATACACTTTTTTACCCGGTTCATAAGCAGTTCAATCAGTAGCAAATTTTTCCAGAAAGTTTAATTACGACATTTAATAATATTAAAATAATTTTTCAAGAACACTGAAACGAATACATTTGAAAATATCCCTCATAGCTATGAGAAGAATACCTACCTCGCAAGATTTAAGTGCTGAATGGTAGTTTTTCGTCATTACTGATGTTAAAAATTCTCCCAGAAGCTGAATTGGGACCAGAATGGATTCACCACCTGCGTCGGTGATTTGGCTGAGGTCATCGCTGCTGGACGGTACACTTTTCGTGGGAGATTTAGATGTACCCACATTTTCAGTATCACCGATCATCCTAGATTCTTGAAAAACCAATAATTCCTCATTAAGTACAAATATTTACTCGTATCATATTGGGAAAATGCGGGAAATAGACACTCTTAGCTCACTCTGGGATGCATTTTGAGGCCGCAACTTAGTGGCCATGAATGTTCTTTTCTTTCAGCTGAATAGATGGACGGAATGTCTGAAAGTGGGTGTTTTGTTTTTTTTTAACAAAAAATTTAATTTTCTAATTTTCAGGGGTGGATGAGAAAAATTTGAAGAAGAATAATTAAGTCCATTAGCTACGAGAGTTGTGATTTGGCTGAGGCTTAGCAGTTATGGAATTATCTTTTCTTCCAATATTGTCGGTCTGGCTCGAAAATTATTGGGGTGCTGATACGTTTTTCGGCGCCTGTCCTCTCGTGCCCCCCTCCCCTAACTGATCAAAATTCCTCCTTTATATGGGTTTTGCCAGGGCTCCCTAAGCCACGACCTGTCAGAATTTTTGTGGGTGCTAAAGCTCTCCAGCCTCCGTGGCTAGACCGCCAGTTTTTCTCCAACTGAACAACAGAAGCAGATCACTTGAATAGTTACAGAAAACCACCACGTAAGCAGTCAAAGTAGTACACATATTACACTTAAAACAATCTGGCAACGTTTTTTCAAATCTACTAAGCGTAAAGGTAAATAAGAAGAAAAAAACACTACAGAGCTCAGTGCCTTGTGCCATAATTATTACACTGAAAAAAAAAAAGAATCTAAAATTTGCCGCCAAAAAGTATATTTGTTCTTAAATCAAGAATTTTGCTGCGTAATAAAAACTACTTTCTTTGCTTAACCCAAGCCTTACTTTCGTTGTATTAAGAAAAACTCAGCTTAAATCAAGAGAAAAAAATTCTTGGCGGCAAATTCAAGAACCATCATGCTTTAGCCAAGCACTTCTTTTTTCAGTGTAGACTGAAAAGCCATCAACTAAGAATTGAAAAATGCGACATAGTGTAAATTCTACCTGACAATGCTATCAAGAGAGAGAAAGCTGACTCTATTTTCTTGAATCGTGTGTGTTAAACGTGGGCAACATGTGCTCTAACCCCAGTATCGTCACGTTGGAATGGGTTGGAATAGTTAGGTAGGTGGCATGAACTATGATTCTACGTAAAAAGTTAGGATTCTTTTAATGGCACTCTCCCTGGGTTACGTTCAATTTCGCGGTGGTACCTGTGGATTGAGCATATTGTACCTCTTTGATGTTAAACTCAGGGGTTTGTTTTCCACTGAAGGAGAGGGCGCGCTACCGAGTTGATTTGTTACTAAGGCGACGGTGAATCATCAAGCTACTAAGACATGACAGGTGTGAGGAATCTCTCTGATGAAGCTTCAAGGGGCTGAAAGTTTCCCATGCCACCCTCTTTTCGTTTGTAGGTAAACTGTATAAGCTAGCAAGCTTTTCACCACTCAACTTGTGGAACAACAGCTTGTGGAACAACGACTCGTTGCTTCACTGAAAAAAAAAATCTCGGTGTATTTATTAAGAAAAGGGTAAAATTACCAAGAATTCGGGGTTCTATTTGATCCCAGTTTTTTCTTGGTAAAATTACCATTTATGGAATTGGTAATTTTACCTAGAAATCTCGGTAAAATTGTTTAACTTCCTCAGTAATTTTACAGGACCTTGGTAAAAACGCCAATATTTTTTATCGACTGTGGTAGAATTACCGAGATAAA